TGTTTTCTTTCGAAGTTTTGACCCCTTGCCCACTCTTAACGTTTCCAACATGTTCTATGCTATTGCTCTATTTTTAACCTTTTTTTTTTTTTTTTGCTACCAAAATTTCTTTTTAATTACTCTATATCTGTTGACTCCCATTTTTTGCTGCCCACCGTCTTCTTAACCACTTTTGCAATAACGCTTACAAGTAAGCTCCTGGTAACTTTTATGATGGCCTTTTAGCCCTCATCCTTTGCAACATCTCTGTGGCATTTGGACACTTAACCCATTTTCTCTGTTAATGTATTTCCCCATGGCTTCTTAAACCCTAATCCCTGTTCTCTTTCAACTTTCCTTCTTTCCCTTTTTTTCCTAAATGAGGTTGTTTCCCAAGGTACTAGCCATGAAAAATTCCTATCTTTTTACAATTTACACATGAGAACCTCATTCATTTCCGTTTTCTCTATGATCATCTTCATGCGTAGCTCCTTTCTCATTTTTAGTTATTGTCTTCACTTGATTCCTTAGTTCCTGATCCACACTTCTATCTGCCTGCTAGATATTTCACTCATAGGATCAATAAGATACTTAACCTGGGCTATTTATACTATTCTGTGTTTTTAAAAAAAGTCTTCTCTGGGCCCTAGTTTTCCTGCCAACTACTACCATGTTTCTCTGCTTCCTTTTACAGGATAATTCCTTGCGCCAGTAATCTCTATTTTCTGTTTCCCTTTTCTATCTTCCCATTCTCTCTTGAACCTACTCACAGGAGGCTTTTGTCTCCTACCATTTTATCAGCGTTGCTCTTGTAGAGTTATGAATGATCTCTTCCCAAATCAAAGGGCCAATTCTCAGACCTCATTTTACTAGATTTTTTTTAAAGAAGCCTTTACTATAGTTGTTCATTCTCCCCTTCTCAAAAGGATGTCTTTATTTGGCTTCTAGGGCATCACATTCCTCTTATATCTTTTTATATTAATGGGCACTCCTTCTCAGTCCTTTTTGCTGGGTCCTTCTCCACTTTTACCCCTATTTGTTGGAGTCCTGCAGGGTTCAGCCATAGCTCTCTTCTCTTCTCCCTATACTCTTATTTCTTAGGTAATTTCAGTTAGTCTCCTGACTTTAAAAATTATGTTTGGTGTTCTGCTTTAGAAGAGTGTTAGTACCCCCTCTCCTTTATTACCTCTCTTTAATTTTTCACTTACCGATTTTCAGAATATGTCCCTTTTGCTTCTAGAGTCCTTAAGTAGAATACACAGCACCCATTATATTCATGGATATGAACCTTCATTGTTGACAGGATTTCCTTTTTATCTTCTCCTGTTTTGAATCTGTGTTAAGGTGTGTTTTTTGTTTGGTTATTTTCGTAAGCATTTTTCCTCCTCTGGTTTACTTGTGTTTTATAATCTTGGAGATATTGGTTGGCCTCAAATATCTTTTTGCTGTTGCTTACAAATAAGGGGAATCTTGGCTAGATAAAAGATTCATGAGTTCTGCTTTCTTTTTAGGTAGTCCAGATCCTCCTTCATGGTTTTTTAGCTTCTAGTGTTGATGATAAGAATGCCATCTTGGTTTTTCCATTTATGGATGGTTGTTCTTTCTGTCTGAACATTTACAAGGTTTTTTCCTATTCTTTAGATCAATAATTTTATAATGATATGAGTAGATATTTGTCTTTTCTCTTCCAAACTGAAACGTAGTTACCTTTTCCAATTAGATATTTTTTCAGCCTGGAGAACTTTTCTTTTATTACTTACTTAATTGTTCCCTCTTTTTCACATGGTGTCTTTTCTCTTTTTGAATACATATTTTTCACATATTAATTTTTTGGGTCTATCCAAGTAATGTTTCTTTTCTGTTACTATTATCATTTACTTAAGTCTGTGCTCTGTATTTTGAGATAATCCTTGCACTTCATCTTCCCATCTACTTAATTAGGTGTCAATAATGATCTTTTTTTAAATTCATGTGCTTATTTTAATAGCTTGAAAATCATGGTTTTAAGCTTCAGTGTGTATGTGTGTTGTATTAGAAATTATGTAAATGCTCTAACAATTTTAGTGCAAGTCTTTTCTTTTCTAGCACTTCCTTTTTCAATAGGTACATGTTCTGATTATTCAGTCTTACTCTGTTCTTTCATATGTTGGAGCCTCTTACATGGTCCTTTGTTTTTTTTTATGATGGCTCACTGAAAATCATGTCTGGTTGTTGAACTGTCCTTAACTGCAGGAATCCTGGAATTCATAATAGGTACAGAGCCTGAAGTGTAAGGACAGCCCACTAGAGAATCCTAAAGGAAGTGTAATGCTCTCTAATCTACTTGAACTACTCTCCTTCTAAAGTAGGGAATACTCATCTGTTTTATAATAGGAAAATACAGCATATTCCAAGAGATTAGAGGTAATTTTACCATGGGGGTCTTCAGATACCTGGAAGCCAAGTTATTATAGTGATGCTACTTTTCAGTAAGTTAGCCACCCATGGGACAATGTAACTGTACACCAGTTTGCTCTGATGTTACCTCACTAGAGCCTTAAGATGTATAATAGTGTGCAGGTCTCAGCAGCTGCTTAACATTAGAAAGTTCAAGAACTTGGAGTTGGCATAGAAAGGAAAAAGCCACAGTCAAGTTGTCATGTTTCAGAATACTTTCAACCCTCACTCATTCCTGTGCCATTTAGTTTCTGATAACTTTCAACTTTATTATATCTCCAGTCCTTACCATTCCTTTGACGCACATATGCTGTTGTCTACTCAACAGTTCATCTTGGTAATGTAATGGATACAACCTTTGTATCCATTTGTATCCAACAAAGGTTGTATGTTCAATGCTTGATTGTCATCACCAAACCTACTTCTCCCAAGTCTTTCTTATCTCAGTGAATGGCATCTCTACCATTTTTTATGGTTAATTGCATAAGTCAGTATCTTAAGATTCATTCTTTTTTTTTTTTTCATTTTATTTTATTTCCTTTCAGTGTTCCAGAATTCATTGTTTATGCACCACACCCAATGCTCCATGCAATACCTGCCCTCCTTAATACCCACCACCAGGCTCATTCTTGACTTCTTTTATTTTTACATCCACATTCCAATTAATTCACAAATCCTATTGGCTGTTCTTTCAAAATGTACCTAAATTGATCACTTCTTACACCTCCACCTCTACCACTCATTTGTACATCATTGTTTCCCTTCTAGTCTACTGCAGGTGCCTCCTCAATATTCTTCCTGCTTCTGCTCTTGCCCTCTACAGTTTATCCCCTATGAATCAGAGTAATCTTTTTTTAAAAGGTAAAATGTTGCTTCCCTCCAAAGGATTCTAAGAAAATCCAAACTCTGTGCAGTTGCTTACGAGGCTCTCCATGCCATAAGGCTCTCCCAACTGTCTTCCAACCTTATTTTCTACCATTTTCCTGACTTAGTGCATGTTAGTCTCGTTAGCTTCCTTGTTGCTTCTTAATTACTTGTTCCTTCCTTATCTCAGGCCCTTGCTCTTATGGATCACTTTGTTTAAGAATACTCTTCTTCCAGATTTTCTCACAATTCCCTTCCTCATTAAATTCGTGTCTTGGGGTCACCTGGGTGGCTCACTGGATTAAGCCTTCGGCTCAGGTCATGATCTCTGGGTCCAGGGATTGAGCCCCACATCGGGCTTTCTGCTCAGCAGGGAGCCTGCTTCCCCCACCCACCCTGCCTCTCTGCCTACTTGTGATCTGTCTGTCAAATAAATAAATAAAATCTTTAATAAGTTTGTGTCTTGCTCACATGAATAGACATTTCTCCAAAGAAGACATACAAATGGCCAACAGGCACATGAAAAAAATACTCAACATCATTTGGCATCGGGGAAATAGAAATCAAAACCACAGTGAGATACTGCTTCACACTGGTCAGAATGGCTAAAATGAATAACTCAGGAAACAACAGATGTTGGTGAGGATGCGGAGAACAAGGAACCTCCTTACACTGTTGGTAGGAATGCAAACTGGAGCAGCCACTCTGGAAGACAGCATGCAGGGTCCTCCAAAAATTAAAGAGGAGAACTACTCTATGACCCCTCAATTACACTACTAGGTATTTTTCTAAGGGATACAAACATAGTGATTCAATGGGGGCACATGCACCACAGTCTTTATAGCAACAATGCTCGCAATAGCCAAAGTATGGAAAGAGCCCAGATGTCTACTGACAGATGAATGGATGAAGAAAGTGTGGTGTATATATTGCTCAGCCATCAAAAAGAATGAAATCTTGCCATTTGCAATGACAGGGATGGAACTAGAGCGTATTATGCTAAATGAAATGTCAGTCAGAGAAGGGCAAATACCTTATGATTTCACTTGTATGTGGAATTTAAGAAACAAAACATATGAGCAAAGGGAAAGGGAAGGGACCGCACATGATCCTGACCACACCTGCTATTCTTTCTTTTTGCTCTTTGGATTTTCAGTTTATGACCCCTATCTTCTCAATTTTCAGTGGATAGAATTTACTTCTATAGGTGAATAAGAAAGAATAGTGAAGAGAAAATTTAGCCAAATAGTAGAACCCAAAATTCATCTTGAAAGTAGGCTTAGCATATATAATGCAGCGTAGAAAATTGTAGATATAACATGCTAATACGTGGCTAAGATTTATTTTCTTGTGCTTTAACATAGTATTCTTCTAATCTCTAAAGGCCAATTTTAAGATTCATTAGTAAGGAGGGAAGTCATTGATAAGTCATTTGCCATTTTGCCCTCATTTTTGAATGGTTATTCTAACTATCTCCATGGATGGACGTGGGAAACATTTCTGAAGCTCTAACCCTCCTGCATACCCATGTGCCATTGGCAGCTGGAGAGTCTTATAAAATCAGCACTGGCCCGTGTTCTCAAGCACATTTGTAGACACCTCTCTCTGGATTAGTGCTTTAACATTTGTAAACTGTTTTCTGGCAAGCTACTTAGAATTTTTAAAGTGATTGACTTTGATCATTAAAATATTAACTTGGTTTTATTTTTATTTTTTTCCAGATGTATGGTGGCTGATGAAGTAAGTGTTTTCATGATTTTTATGTCTTTTATAAAATTCCACAACCAATTTTTAGTGTCTGCTATTTACTGTGTATTCTTTGTCTTTCCGTATGACTGTATGTCTATATATGGAGAGAGAAAGGGGACAAAGAGAATGAGAATGAGAATGAATGTGTCTGTATTTGTGCATGCACATATTATGCACATGTAGGTGTGTACATGAAACCTATTATTATTAACATTAGTGATACAAAATTTTATGTTGTTGGCAGAAAAAGCATGAATGTGCTTTAAAATTCAGCCTCAGATGAAACTGAACTCTTTCTTTGGTCATAGTACTGCTTGCTTAAAAGTTGAATTTTTAAAAAATTGCTCTAGAAGTTATTGTTAATTGTTCCCTATTAGTGTGAAACATAATATTAAAGTATTATTTTATTATCACTAAACAAAACAGTTTGATGCATTTAAGTACCATGTACTTATATATAATAATGTTTTCTTGCTGAAATGGATGTTCTTGTTATATAACCATTCTTTGTTATATAAACCATGATACTCTTTACATACATTCTCAGTAATATGAATCAATAAGTTCGAATTTTTATTCAGTTTGAGAAATGTGTTGCTGTTTTCATGATACCTTTAAAAGTAACCGCAAACGTTTAAAAAATAGAAATGATGAAGCATACTGAATTTTTTTTTTTTTAAGATTTTATTTATTTGACAGAGACACAGCAAGAGAGGGAACACAAGCAGGGAGGTGGGAGAGGGAGAAGCAGGCTTCCCACGGAGCAGGGAGCCTGATGCAGGGCTTGATCCCAGGACCCTGGGATCATGACCTGAGCCCAAGGCAGCCGCTTAATGACTGAGCCACCCAGGCACCCCGTATACTGAATTTTTTAAAAAATAAAAGTGGAACCAAAGAGATTCTCTTGATTGACTGTCTTAGCTTTAGTTACATAAAGACCCACCAGTGGCTTATCTCTACAGTCTCTTCTTTAGGGAAAAAATGAATTACAGTGTAACACGAACAAGAATGGTATGCAGAAAGGTTAATACAGGGTTACTTGGTTTATGCTGATTTATAATTACTGAAGTTTTTAGTTTGAAATCTTTATTCTACAGGCATTTGTTTAGATTTGATGTTAGGAGTTAGAAACATAGTCATTGCCTATGAAGGACTTCAACAATGTAATTGAAGGGACAGGACATAGACATTTGGGAAACAACAGCAAATTCTATTTTGGAACAGGATGAATTCCAAAAGCCTCTTCATAAATTAATAAACTTATTAGTCCAAAATGACTGAAAGAGGTTCACGTTTTTTGTCCCTGATCGTTTTTCACAAATAGGAATGTAAACTTACCCTTCAACCTTCAAAACCTCAAAACTAGGCATAACCATTTTGTATAATATGTATAAAATATATCTGTGATACATATATGATGCATGTGTGTATTTATATCAGTTTTTTTATGGTAGTCCATTTAAAGGTTTTATTTATTTGTTTATTCTAGAGACAGAGTGCGCATAAGTGAGCAAGGGGAGGAGCAGTGGGGGAGGGAGAGAGAGAGAGAGAATCTGAAGCCAACTCTGTGTTGAGCACAGAGCCCAACATGGGGCTTGATTCCACAACCCTGAGATCAGCACCTGAGCCAAAACCAGAGTCCAGCGCTCAACTGAGCCACCCAGGTGCCTCTATATCAGTTTTTGAACAAATCAATTTTATGTCTATAGAGATGATACTGTGTCAGCTAACAGCCATCTTGATAATCTCTCTACAAGTGATTGAGAAGGAAAATCTTAACAGCTGTGTTACATCATTCTTACCTTGCTCTTCACTTTGATGTCATGGAGACATCATAGACACATTTGAATGGGCCTTAAATCTATGGAAGTGTCCATGGATTGAAATAAACACTTGATTGACCCCTTAAGCCTCCTTAACTTTTCTTCAACCAACTCCTGCTTCTCCACAGTTAACATTAGACTAAGGATTGTATGGACCTCATGATGAACCTTTAGACAGTAAGTTTTTCATTATACCAACTGCTTTTCCTCATCTCTTACTATTTAAAGTTTCACAACACTTGTCACATGTTGAGTGAATTCAACACCATTCTTACAACAGCATTCTTATTTCTTAATTTAATAGATTAAAAAGAACTATTTAATATCTCCTCAGCACTTAAAAAAAAAAACAAACAGCCCTCCACTTTGTGTCCATCATATTTACTTCTCTCTTTTCACCCACATTTTAAAGACTCAGTCTTTTGCACCTATTTGACTTTACAGGGTTATTATGTTAAATCCTATCAATGATGTTAATTATGAAAAAAGAATCCTCAATGGTGTGATATACAAATGCAAGATCATAGCTTACAACCTCTAATATCCTCTGTTAGCAGTAGACTTGAAATGCCATTTTTATGGAATCTTACTAAACTAATGTGGATGAAAGTTAGTAAATTAAAAGTGTTGAAGTAGAAGGAACTTGTATATATGTAAATTATGTGAACTCTGGTTTTGACCTTCATTCGGTTTCTTAATACTGTTCTCCTTTTCTTGTTCTTATCACAAAGTGGTAGTCAAGTCAGAGAAGGAAATGTAGTTTATAATTTAGAGGTCAACCACCTTTTTCTGATTTTTAAATTAAAAAGTGTATTTTGATATGATGAATATTTGACTTATCAAAGAGCTGAAAGCCTTAGAAGGGCAATTTTACATCTCTGTTATCAAACCTCCTTTTTTAAAAATGCTTGAATACACACTTGGAATATTGTGTAATTTAGCTGTCTACTGTGATTTTTCTTCCCTAGCTTTAGAAACAAATGATTTCCTTCAAGTGGCATTACTCCCCCTTCCAGTATTTTCCACTATTATCTTTCTTCTGATGTATTCGTTCCTTGTGAACTTATATAATCTATCTATAGTATTTAAGGTAATTATTAACTTTAAATTGGAATGATGACTTAAATTCTGTTTAATTTTAATTATGTGATCATTGTGTGTTTCAGTTGTAAAATTAAATTTCAGAGAACAACAAAGCTGCAACATTTAATAAAATTAACTTTACAAACTGTTTTGAAATACTTCCTATTCACCCTTCTCTGCCATCTTGGTTTAATGAATTAAATGTTGTTTCAAGAACTGTGTAATGAATACAGAAACTCTTATGAATTTGTGTTCCGTAAATACTGGATTCAGACCACAGTCTATAGTCAGGCTGTTGCACTGTTATCTTGTTTTTTAATAATTACTTGTAAACCACTTTGTCCTTGTTCTTCACTTGAAAATTATTACAAGTGTTTATTCATTAAAAAGTTTAAATGCAGGGGCGCCTGGGTGGCTCAGTGGGTTAAAGCCTCTGCCTTCAGCTCAGGTCATGATCCCAGAGTCCTGGGATCGAGCCCCACATCGGGCTCTCTGCTCTGCGGAGAGCCTGCTTCCCCCCCGCCATCTGCCTCTCTGCCTACTTGTGATCTCTGTCTGTCAAATAAATAAATTTAAAAATCTTAAAAAAAAAAAGTTGTAAATGCAGGGCACCTCGTGGCTCAATCAGTTAAGGGTCCAACTCTTTATTTTGGCTTGGGTCTTGCTATCCAGTTTGTGAGTTCAAGCTCTCCATTGGGCTCTACACTGAGCATGGAGCCTACTTTAAAAAGTAATTGTAAATGTGAAAAATAGTTTCACATTAACACAAACCAGGTATTTTAATAAGATATCCATGAAGGAAAATATTAAAACTACACATTTCCTAACTTATTTGTCAAGTATTTAAAAACTATTGTTCTCAGGGCATCTGTGTGGCTCAGTTGGTTAAGTGTTTGCCTTCAGCTCAGGTCCACATTGGAATCCCTGCTTAGTGGGGAGCCTGCTTCTCCCTCTGCCCCTCCTCCTGCTTGTGCTGTCTCTCTCTTTCTCTCTCTCTCTGTCAAAAAAAATAAAATCTTTTTAAAAAACTATTGTTTTCTGTAGAAGTATAGTATTTAGAAAATTTTACAATATTCGTTTTTACTTAAGAAGATGGGATTAATATTCTGGATTTACATAATAGCCTAATGTTGTGTCATGATGGACAAAAGTTTCAGTACGTGGATTCTGTCTTCACTTGTCTACAGTATCTATTATCAAAGCCAGAATATTCCTACTTTCATCTTATGTAACATTTTTTTGTTAGTACTCTATTTTAGTCCCCCATCCCTAACACACACACACACACACACACACACACACACACACACACTTTTTTTAAGGTTTCCTCCTTCCTGTTACTTGAGAAAACATTTGTGGTGGGGTGGGGGGTGGGAGGTATACCAAATAAAGCATTGCTTCCTTCCTTTTTCAAAAGAAAAGGAAACCATTTGTTAAGCTGACCTACTTGGTTTCCCTTTGTGGCTATTTTGGGACACATTAATAGATAAATATTTGGAACAAAGGCCCTATAGTTATCATTATCAATGCTTTTCTTTTGGTCAAGGTGCTTCTCTGGAAGAGGACTTTGGAGGGGAGAGGCTGTGGGACTTGTTCCATGTTGGTAGAAGTATTTCTACAGGCAAAAGTCAAATTTGAAAACTGTTGTCAGTTTCTCTGCAGGCAGAAATGTGTAGGTGTGTGGAAAGAGTGAAGGACCCCTTTTGAAGGTTATTTTTGCTCAGAAGATCTTAAAATTGGTACTGAGATACAGACTCTCCAATATTAACTTTATAGATTTGAGGACTAAGAAATTAAAATAGACATGAAGAATTTTAGCTTTTCTTTTTTATAAGCCTACCCACATTTGACAAAGAGAGCTGAGATAGCAATTTTTATTCCATTGGTATCTACAGATCTTAGATTTCCTTTACCAGGCCCAAGCTGAATTACACTCGCTCCTTGAGTTCTTCACAGTTTTGGATTTATAACCCTCCTGTGTCTATAGATCCATTTTGTTGAGTGGTTGAGCTAGTTAAAGAGTTAATATGTAAACCTGTGTGCCAGGTTCTGTTGTAATGCTTTTCATGTATTAATCTACTTCAT